TTTAAAATTCAGGAACTATTTCCAGCAATTCTAGGATATTCAATTTTGGTAGTGTTGTACAACATTGCTGAGAGATGATGTGCCATTATCTTCTTGAGCAAACACTATTCTAATAACAACGTAACAGCATTGAAGGTTGTTGTTTAACAGAGCTGACGAGCATTCTGAAGCTTTGACTTGAAAACATGATGACGAGATCCAAGTTGCCTAACATGTACATTTAATTACAACAATTACAATTACATCTTTCAGTTCAGGGTAAATCCCAAAATTGGTCAATGTGCCAATCTTGTTTCATTCTTCTAAATTTATTACGCAAGAATATCACCCTATGTGATGGAAAACGCCGTCCCCCTTCGAATGATAGGATTACCCTGTCACTGTTCTACTTAAAATCGGCGTGGCTATGAAGCCTAAATTAGTATTTAAATCTTACAAATTGATGGCCTTTATTTATATCATCTTAAGCAATAATATAATGTTTCCAGAGCTCAAATTTGTACGAATGTCATGATGCCTCAATTGTTGTTGAGATCGCATAGGTGTGATTACCGTTATGTGTATAAATATGTTATATATACAAGTATACGCAACAACAACAAATCTGCTAGAAAATACAACTCTGCAACTGTAGTCCTACTATCTTGCTAATATTATAATCTATTTCAATTTAAGAATTCATTTCCAGTCATTCTTCGCTATCGCTCTTGCCCATCATGGGACAGTATAGCACTATGTATAATTTTGTATCGAGTTAACCGACAGGGAGTTGGTTGCACCATTGGCTTGGGTGCTACATCCTTTCATATCCGTGTTTTGGCTATAGGAACAGTATGCAATGGAGTTGAGTGTTGTACATGCCATTGCCAGTCTCTCTCTGATCGAACTATACGATATTGCCTTGAAACTGAATTGCATATTTGTTCAGTGACCAACTGACTAGCTTACTAAGCTACATAATCGAGCAGAAAATGCAATGAATCTTTCAAAATTCAGTAACTCATTTCCACTTCCTTCTTCAATTGACTGTAGTCTGCTGATGCCCTCCATTGACTTGCAGACTTCATTATTCTGTGTATGAACAACAACTTAGATCTGCTAGAGGTTCGGTTCGAGCCGCATACGAACCGATTAAAGTCAGTTTATCCGGTACTGTTCAAATACTTAAAAGGCGCGGTTCGAACCGAACGAACCGCTTAATATTAACGTATTGACATGATTTAGTATGACATTTCATATAAAACCTGCAGATTGTAACTGATGTTCATTTAAGTTAATATCGCATTTAATATAATGAAATATATGCAGATTATAAAATCGGATTACAGAAGTCTCAAAATTTTAGTGCAACTGCTACACGTCTTTATAGTTGATTTATTTACTACAACGAATATTAATATTAACGTATTGATATGATTTAGTATGACATTTCATATAAAACCTGTAGATTGTAACTGATGTTCATTTAATTTAATATCACATTTATTGTAATGAAATATATGCTGATTATAAAATCAGATTACAAAAGTCTCAAAATTTTAGAGTAACTGCTACACGTATTTATGGTTGATTTATTTTCTACAACGAATATTAATTGCTACAGCGTACGTATTTATGGTTGATTTATTTTCTACAACGAATATTAATTGCTATAGCCTACGTATTTATGGTTGATATTTTCGATTCATTTACTACAACGAATATTAATTGCTACAAACTACGTATTTATGGTTGATTTATTTTCTACAACGAATATAAATTGCTACAGACTACGTATTTATGGTTGATTTTATTTTCTACAACGAATATTAATTGCTACAGACTACGTATTTATGGTTGATTTATTTTCTACAACGAATATTAATTGCTACAGACTACGTATTTATGGTTGATTTATTTTCTACAACGAATATTAATTGCTACAGCCTACGTATTTATGGTTGATATTTTCGATTCATTTACTACAACGAATATTAATTGCTACAGGGGCAGTGCACGGGCAGGAAAGCCTACAGTACAAGGCAGAAGGCTACAGTATACAGTACTGTACACTGTAGCCCAGTGCACCAGCTTGTACTGTACTGGACATCACTAGCTCAAGCGTCCCTCTACGGCAATATGGACGCTAAGACAAAAGCACCAGAAAGCGTTTTTAGCCTATCTTGGCTTGTCATCATCACCAATCGTAGGCTGTGATAGGACAAAATCGTCATCAGCTTGTTCACGCTTGTCATTTAAATTGCAATTATTGTTGTTTGCTTAGATGAACGATTAATTATCGCTCGTGTATCCGTCGTCAGTGTTGAATTAATTGATTTGGGTAAGAAATTAGCCATGGCCTTGGTCAGCGATGAAGAATTAAGAGCTAAATTAATTGAATTTGGAGTAGATGTAGGTCCGATCGATTCCAATACCAGGAAGATTTATACCAAAAAATTAGATCGTTTGATAGCCAGCAAAACGACTAGCAATAAAAGAACTCCCAAACGAAGTAGTAGAAAAACAAGAGCAACTCGAAGAACGACAGAGAATGAAGACGAAAATCAAGAAAAGTCAGTCAGTAAGAATACTTCCTTATCCAGCGCTCAAGTGAAACCCATCCATTCGGAAGAAAGAGTCAGTAGCTCGGTCAGTAAGAGACTCTATCATACTAGCTCTCCAACAGCTCGAGCTGCACAACGACCTGTCGTCATGACTAGAATTAAAGAAACATTTTCTTCGGATGATGATGGACTTACTGTCCAGCGCACCAATATGCAAACAACCACTTCACCTTATTCTAATCCATCAACATTGGTAGCGCAAAATAAGAAAGTCGATCAGTGGCTAAGTAGTGGTAAACAGGTTCTTCGTCGCAATTTAATGTCTAATTGGGTGAGCCCAGCCAAAGACAATAATTCAAGTCAAGTCATGCATGATTCCACAGCTCAAGGCAATCAACAAAACGTGCCTAACAATTTAGTCTTACCAAAGTCACAGTATTGGCCTATCGATGCAACTCCGTTCTTATATCTATTGCTCATTATAATACTCTTGATTGCATTCGCTCGTGTAACCAATGATAGCAAGCAATATAAAGTACTATCGAAGGATATACCACAAGGTAAATGTTATCATTTTCTTATCATGTGCATCACTTCATTTTCATGGATGCTTTAGTTCATGTTGCTTACAATGGTAGCTCTATAATTGTTTAAAGAGATGCTAAAAGTCGTATTGGCCATGTCATCTTCATCATCATAGAATATTGTAAAATAGCATGATATAGCCGACCTAGTCATGGCTACTATTCAACCTATTCGTTATGAAAATGAAATTTGCACACTTTGTCGCGCTGAGCTGCTTTCTTTCCATTGATCTACAACATCCATAGAATTTATCAACTTAATCCAGAATTTTAATTGCAGCTTCTATTAATGCACTACTCAATCATGCATGCAGTATCGGGTACTAGTCGATCCAATAAAAGATGTAAGAAAATCTTCGTAAAAACGATTGCCATACGAGTATTCTCAACCAATGATGGTGTAATGCGCAGATCTATCTGTTTGTGCATAACCTTAAAATTAATTAATTGAAAGCTACACTACTGTATTGGTAGTCATATTGATGATTATATAATAAACTCAATTGGCTAGTAAAAATTGTTATTTATATTACTCGTTTTATGTAATGATCATTACTACTATTGGTGAACTTTTTGAGCTATATCAATGTAACTTGAAAGTAGCATTGCCTACATCGCGAATCCATGGCCTAGCTACGGTCGTAAAAATGAGTACCAATAGTACAGATAGCAACTGTATCGGCTGCAGGTCATTTTATATTCAATCGCTATCTTACAAAAAGTCTTACCCGCTCGGGTATATTTGTTTCGATTCATTTAGATAAACTACTCCATGATGTCAGTCGGGAAGAATGTGCAGCAATAATGACGTACCTAATGAAAGGAATCCATAAACAATCAGGTAAACCTTGTAAACGATTTATAAGCAAGCTATCAAATTAGCAATTATAATTACTACTAGTTTTCTTACGGCTGGTATGCAACAATCTAGCAAAATACGAATGTACCCGTGGAGTTCCAGAGAGATGGATAACTTGGCATCAAGCAACGGAATTAGTAACCGAAGTGGTAACCAATGCCTGCTTTAAACTGTGATATTATGCTCCAAATAATTAGCGAAGATGTTCTACATGCTACTATCTTTGATTAATTAAAGTTAAAGCTATTCAACTTATCATAATAGCCTAGAGGAAAAGCAACTGCTCTATTTCAGAACTAGTACTTGTATTCTTGGCTCTTAAAAGTGCCATGAAAATAAGAACTTCTAACAGTTGCTTACTATATAGATGTCCGATCGTACAATTTCAAGTAAAAAGCCGAAAAATGATACTATTAAAGGCATCCTAAAGTTATTTAGTGACCTAAGCAGTAATTTTCCCGATTGGTGCATAACGTAAGGCGGAAAGTTCTTTTGCTAACATCACGAGCTCGAACTTGTTACAATTGCAGCACTGTCAATTAATCTGCTCTAATTTCCTAGCGTTAGCGAAAGTGGCGTTGAAAATGTAACATATCACTTTCAATCTTGCCGGTCGGCCAATTTTGGATGTGTATTGTGGCGACTTGTTCAAAACTCCTTCTACTTATTCCTTGTTGTATCGATAGGTACTGCATACATAGCTGAGTAGGAAACTTTATTTAATGATAAAATTGTCTCGCAAAGATATCGCATTCTTTTATTTTTAAATTAACTCTAAGGGTATTTTATATTTCGCTTCGTATAGTGGTTATCCCTTGTTATACATATTATACTTGGTCGGAGGAACGAAAAAGAGCGCATAAAAGATGGTCTATAGAGCTTTATAAACTGATCGATCGGATTATCGGTACAATAAGCTATAGAAATGGTAATTCTAATCTTAATCTTAGTTCATTTTCGATTTATGACTTACATTTTATTATAGAGGTTGTCCGTACGCATTATACTGATAGCATGAATTCCGGCGACGCTTTACCATACGTTGCAGTTTCTCACGTGCGCGACATATTAATACCACCCATTCAGAGGTATTCTTGTTGTACTAGGTATTATTTCCATGTCTGGTAGTAAACTGATAGTATTGTAACCTTTTATAACATTAACATAGACAACGAAAGCGCAAACTGTGGAATGAGGCCGCCAACTACGTCAGCAAGAACGATTCCCGTGTAAGGCTAGAAACACAAAGAATTGCTGGTGAAGATTTTGAGGTCTGGCGATGGACCTGTCAATCAAGTCCTGCATTGAACCACAAATTTAAATCATTATATTCTAGCTTACCTATTGAAAAAAATTCAGAAATTGAGCAGTTAGTTGTGCCTGGAATTGGGTTTAAAGTTTGGCAAGGGCAAATAAAACACACTAATAATATAATATCGAGGACGATTGAATGTAACGACAGTTGCTGCTTAAAGTTAGGGAATATGTTTGATTATGAGCTTGAAAGTGGTAGTGACTGGACCAGTAGAATACAAGATGCCATTCTGGAAAAGTGTGGAGACAGCAGTAGCATAGTCCATATACATGTGGAAAGGTATTCTAATCGTGGTTCAGTTTACATCAAGTGTAGTCAAATAGAAGATGCCAAAGAGACATTTAAAGCTATGCATGGCTGTATATTTGACGGTAGGATAGTTCGAGCTAGATTTATAAGTAATCAGACATATCACAGCTTGTTTCCAGATGCAGCAAAATTTAGCGAGCCGTTGAAGCCTTCAAATGATTCCGTGAGATCAATGATATTTCTTGCTGAAGCGAATATATATCTAAGTTAAACTCACAACAACGGATGGCTTTCTGATATCGAGGTGCAATTGAAACTGACGTTGTTATAGTTTTACCGTTCCTAATTCGGTGTTATTACTTAACTTTGAAGCATTTAATGGAGAGAATTGGCATTGATGATGTTCCTATACTGGTTCAAAGCTGGTATACTATGAATACATAGATACTAGCTACACAAATATTGTACATTCAGATTCTAACATAAAAATGGTCGAAATTTTCTTCCGCTTTTACATTATAACACTATTGTATAAAAGCTCTTACGAATTCCATGTAAAGTTTGTAAGTTACTGCGGCTCGCTTGTTATCTTCTTGCGCTAGATCACAAGAATTTGTCAGATCTAAAATTTAATACTTGATGAATTGTAACCTCAGTTGAACTGTTATCTGTAACTACATAATTTTAGCGTGTGATATTTGTATCGCTAATACAACGTAAGTATACTGATTTTAAATTCTCTTTGCGAAACTGCAACTTTTCGAAAAACTATAAATGATTGTCTAATTCTTGAGATATTTAACATCAGAGGTCAGATGCTGAGAAGATTATGATACTATGATTTTAATACGACTTGTGTGATGGTCTTTAACTTCATCTTAGCTTAAAAATAAGCTTTCAAAATCATTATAAAATATAATGTTAATCAAATCAGAAAACCTGCATTTTTACGCTCGCGCATTGTTGCTGGGTATGTTGTTGTGGCCGAAATATTGCATGCAATGACAATGTTCACAAATATATAAGTAATTTGTTACTGACCATAAATGCACTTACCATTATTCCTCGCAGCATGACACGAGATGACCTTTAATACGAGATCTTTGCTGTAAAATAGTGAACCTTTTGTGCATCTACATAAACAGTAGCTCTGAGTAACAAAGTATGGATGCATGCATTGTCAACTTTTAAAATACCGCTTACGAATGTGTGCTGTATAGTTGCAATCAGCTCTAATAATAAATATTTTATCAATGATTGAATTAGATGAATAATAGGCCTGCAGATTACTGAAAGTTTCTGTAGTTATGCTGCGACAGTTGTCATTTTACTAAATATTGCAAACAAATTTATGGAGCTGCCTTCCACCTCAAACAGCGTCATTGAATTAATCAGAGACTGACGTAAATTGTGATTATATGCACGTATGTGCCTATTTACTACTCAGATAACTATAAATAAATGAAAATATTTTAATGACTCTCGAAAGGAATTAGCTAAAAATTATAATTTCGCCTCAAAATACGCTAACTACATTAAATATCGCTTTTTAACACCCATAAATACGTGATATTATTCATCCTGTAATGCATAATCTTCAGTTATGGTACAGTATTATCGACAGCTTAACCGACAGACCAATAAATACGTGTATATACATAAGACTAGAATTACACTTACTAGTCCTACAACCTATCGTGTTACTGACTGTAAATATGTGAGAGTTGTCATTCAACAATGACCCATTGCATCTCGAATACATCATAACCCATGTATACCTATAGTATATCATGGGCTGCAAGATGCACTAGTACATCTACTGTAGTAGTCCATATCTACATTAAGTGCAATATTTCCTGTTCAACAGCTGATCAGCTGACGATTGTTCGATAATCTCGTATACTATACATTTAAAAATTTCAGCAAAATAAAAATTTGATGTACCCCTACCAAGCAGCGCACATGTGATATTGACATTGACGATGCGACACATGGCTGTCTACAAATGAGTCCTGATGATTATTTTTAGTCCTCATTTTTACATCTCGCATAACCAGAAAAGAGGCTTCTAAAGAAAACCACGTAGGAAAGTAGATACAACAAAGTTCTATAAGATTAATCAATCAGTTGTATATATAAATATCTACGTTACATAACTATAGTCTATATATACATGGTTCAATATAGTCCTTTATTCTTCAATTCTGTCATTAAAATACTACATTTTTTTCGGAGTAAAGCTTGCTAATAAATACAGTACATCAACTATGGTATTTGTTAAGGCTAAAATTAATAATACTAGGTACGGCTCCTATTTCCCTTAATTTATAATCATTGCATTTGGTCTATCCCGTTGTTCATTTTGTAGTATTTCCAAAATTCCCGAACTAATATGACAGTATTATATGATAGTTATTATTTGTTCATATATAGTTTGCAAGAAATCGAATTAAATTGGATATCTTATGCCAAGCCATTGATACAGGAACTCCTTAATTTGCTTTAAATATGTCAATATTGCTGTGATCATATAAGCGGAAAAAAGCATAGATATCTCACTGTAGATTTGTAGCATAAAGGTTCAATTTTTTGGATAGATAATAGTTTTATTTATACTTGAATGGAGTATTTTCAAATAATTTGGATCAACTACAAAGACAAGACAAGGATCACTGACTCATTATCTTTTTAGTCTTTATACTATGATATATTAAAGGAATTACAGTAGAGATTTAAATCATTATAATTAAAATCCGCTTATCATTATTTTATCCTTTAGATTTTTTTGGAATTGTCCAAGTGATAGATGAAGATTAGTTCTTTCGGCACCCTCAATTTTATCATTCATAATATAATTAATGCAGAATAAATCCCTAATTTTTTAATATTATTCAATTAAGAATCTGCACATTTTCATTTCGTGTTCCCATCCTTTTGTAGCAATCGAGAACTCTTCGGCTAGTTTGAGATAATTCAGTTTCTTAGTTAATATTTTCGGTTGTCCTTTTAAATGGAAACATGCCAGGTAGATTATCTTCTCTTTTAAATGGATACCATTTGCGTTGATTATCTCCTCTTTTAAATGGAAACATGCCTGGTAGATTATCTTCTCTTTTAAATGGATACCATTTGCGTTGATTATCTCCTCTTTTAAATGGAAACATGCCTGGTAGATCATCTTCCCTTTTAAATGGATACCATTTACGTTGACTATCTCCTCTTTTAAATGGAAACATTCCTGGTAGGTCATCTCCTCTTTTAAATGGAAACATTCCTGGTAGATCATCTTCTCTTTTAAATGGATACCATTTACGTTGATTATCTCCTCTTTTAAATGGAAACATGCCTGGTAGGTTATCTTCTTTTTTAAATGGATACCATTTGCGTTGATTATCTCCTCTTTTAAACGGAAACATGCCTGGTAGATCATCTTCTCTTTTAAATGGAAACATGCCAGGCAGATTGTCTTCTTTTTTAAACGGAAACATGCCTGGTAGATTGTCTTCTCTTTTAAATGGAAACGTTCCTGGTAGATTATCATCTTTTTTAAATGGATACCATTTGAGCTGGTTATCGTCTTTCTTAAATGGATACCATTTTCGTTGGTCAGCATCCTTCTTAAATGGATACCATTTTCGTTGGCCATCTTCTTTCTTAAACGGATATCGTATTTGTCGGCTATCATGTTCCTTTGAGAGATCTCGCTTATGTTCTTCGTGTTTTTTTGCTTGAATAGCGTCATCTACAAGTTTTTTATCGTCTTTCTTCTTCTCATGTAAGTCATGAGAAGACATAGCATCAGCAGCTTCACGAGCATGATGATTGCTGCTTCTTGTCTGTGATGACGATTTCTTTTGATTATTAAGAGAGCTTTCCTTTTCGTCTTCGTTTCGATCTTGGCTCTCATTACTATTACTTGCAGTAAAATCCTTCGCTGAATCCGCAATTGGCCGATGATGCAAGCCGCTTTCTTTATAGGACAACTTTTGAATTAAATCTTGAAGTCGATGGATTAATCTTGCGCTATTGTCATAGTCAACAATTAGCGGCCGATTAATTATTAGAGAAATATTATATTCTCATACTCATGAGCAAGAATGCTCTCGCTCTTTATATTAAACAGTTTATCTGGGCAAAATTAGCTAAAGATTGGATATTATGCTAGAGGTAATCATTCTTTTAGTTTAAATCATTAAAAATAGATGATAAAAAATTGCCGCAATTTCAGTTACGAAAACATAATTTCAATATAGAACAAATAATTTACATCTTGTATCAAATTTTTACTACTATTGACATACGTGAGAGTATTTCAATTTAAAATGAAATGAAACGATATCAACTTACATCCTGATGAACAAAAAAATAACGAAATACTTATTCTTTGAGCTTAGGTATCGAACAGACCCTATCTAATTTGATGTAGTCAATAATTTATTACCTTAATTTATTTAGTTATCCTGGCCGACAAGCCTTTTAATGTATTTAACCTGAAGATGAAAATTCCAAAATATGATCAACCCGTCCAGATCAAGCTCTTATATACTGTGCCGCTGAATATAATTGAAATCACAGCTATTAATAACAAGCCTTCTAGTAAAACAATTTCGATACTAACCATTTGTTAGCATCTATTCATTGCTTGATAAAAAAAATTATACCATTATGTCCAAGAATTGTTTTAGCCGATTTTGACGGAATACTATTAACTATTATTATCAAATTGCTGATTACCTTTGATGACAACTTTTATCCCTTATTTCATCACTACTGCTTTGACCTATTAATTCCAAATGCTTAGACAACTGCTATAAAGTCTCAACTATATTTGACTATATGCTTTAAGTTAATTTAAATTTGAATACAATACTAACTTTATTAGTTAATATTTGGTTTCTTGACGAAATAAACAATTGTAAATTAATTATGTTCATTTGTGATTGCTGAAAATTGAATAAATTGTTTTCATCATCGTCACTGAACTGTTATTCAATTCCTGTTTGTCCACCTGTTTAATATGACCAGCAGCAAAGTAATGACGATTTCTTGTGGGTTATTACACCGCTAGCATTTGCAACTATTTTCATATATTTTATCGTTTTGATAACAAAATTTTTTCCTATTCTGGAGACAAAAACTGCCAAGCAAGGCTTTTCATTGCATTATATTAATAAGGCATATTGTCTTATTGATAGTTCGATCAATACTCTTGTATTACTCTATCAGTTAGAACCCAGCAGAGAATGGGACATAATTGTCTTCCCATTAAGCTTCAGGTGAAATTCCGATATTGCAATGACAAAAAATTAAAACTATTTTCTGCTAATGATTTTTTTATATGTGAAATAATAACTCTAGATAATTAAATTAAGTATAATTTTAATAAATTAGCTAACTGCACTGCTTTAATAGTGGTAACAAATCAGCGTCGATATGTTTAAAATTGACATTATTAAAGCATAGGCGTCATTTAACGATTGAATGATTATCCATCACCTTTAATTGCATGGATGAATAACTCAATTCTATTTAACCTTAAGATGTCGATCTATTTGAAAACATGAAGTGAACATCGTTAGTCGGAGAGACATGTCTTAATTTGGTACGACTCATTAATAAACGCAAGCAATAAGTCAATGATTCAACACGAACAAAACGATTTTCCGTATTTTTTCCCCTTTTATTCTCTGGTAATACCTATTTTGTTGTACCCTGAGGTGATCAAAGCAAGTACCATAGGTCAGGAGATGATGGGAAATTTTCTAAATTAATTATATCATCGAAATTCAACAGAATATTTTATTAATAGAATAGTAGACAATTACTGATCAATGTAGCGTTGAAAATCCTTTCCGACAAGCATTTGATTGATAATATTAAACTTTGTATAGATTTAATTTAATCAGTAAATGAAATAACAAGGAGGGCTGTAATCTTAGATATCTAACATAATACAATAGAATATTTTTAATTAACGATCGTCAAAAATAATCTAAATCGTCTAATTTTTATTTATTTTTTACTAATCTAGCAAATACTGATGTACAAACCCTTGAAATGGCGCATTTTTTTGCGTGCATTTCTTTTTCTTATGCAGTAAATAAAAAGTTAATTGTTATGATAGTCATTTGTAGCTACATCAAATCATCATCATTTATCTGATTGATTGTGAAAGCGTATAAATTACTAAAGATACAAAGGTTCTGTTTAAGAGTTTCACTTTTTCAAGTGTAATTTATAGGCACTAAACGTAGGTTGGACAAACTTTTTTGGCAGTAAATTTTGATTAGGCTATTACCACGACAACAAAAATAATAAATACTTAATCTGCTATCAGCAATAGAATTGCCTTCAATTTCAATTCAGTTTGAAAAAAAGCTAGAGGTACATTATATAGAATATAGATCTACTGTCAAGGGAACTGCGATACTCGTACTTTGTAACAAAGTACTCGATTTAAGTATCTTGTAAAATCAGTAAGTCTTATTTAAGAAGGTAATAATGTGAATAATATGTTACATATTTGCTTATTCCATCATCGGCTGAAGGTATAGTACCTGAACTCTAGAATCTGTTATATTTGAAGACCATTTACATTTCTGGTTCAGAATTAAATTTAGAAAACGAAAATAGTTGCTTTTTAGTATAAATAATACAAATGTTTCGCTGATTAATGATTGATTACTAAAGCAATATGACGTAATATTATCTCAAAAGTTTATAATAGTATCATTAATACGTTTAAGGGCAAAAGTAATCGATACGTAATAGGAAAAATATTTTAAAATTGTTACGGTATGCAATAATGAATGGAAGCCAAAATCAAAGTACATTAAATTTTCTAAATCGCTTAAGACCAATATTTTAAGCAGAAATGGATGTTGTTTCCCAGGTGGCAAAAACAATAACAACAATTCTTATAACAATGCTATCCAGTAGAAAAAGTTAATAGATCATGAAGTCAGATCTACATTTTTACATTAAAACAAAAGATCGAAAAAGGAAACAAATAAATTGACCTCGATTATTTTTCCGGTCGTAAAGAAATGAAGTATTCTGAGATACAGTTGATTATGGTTGTTTTTTAGAGATCAAAAGCAGCTTTGTTGTTTTATAATCGTATCCATTGAAATCAATAACATCTGAAATATCACCTTACAGAAAATCTATATAGGGGCTGATATAATTATTGCTTAAGAAGGGATACTGATTGTTGGTGCTCTAAGATTAATTTCTTGCTTGATTAGTGATATATCTGGTAGTATTCATAGCGGAGGCATTAAGATAATAATGAGCGTTAGTTAAGTAAAGCTAAATTCCCTATAAATACTTTAACTATTGTTGAACGAAGAAATAAAAAATAGCGAGGACGACTTTGATAGAGTCTCAAAAGCACTCTTAATTTCGGTCAGATTTATCAGCACAGCCGTAGCATTATAAAATGCACCTGCACTATAGTTTTAGTTTAAAATATCAGTATACTACGATAAACAAAAAGTTAACTCCTATCTAAGCTTCTTCATCGTTTATTCAATTTGGATAACAATTTTATCTAGCAAAGCATAAAAGCTGCTTGAGTATTGTTTGACCTAAAGCGTCTACTTTTAACCTAGTCGTACCCTAGACGATTATTATATTGCAGCACGAAAGAGAACTTAACATACTGTCATAGTTATTTCAAGTGTTAAGGAAAAAGTTGCTAGAATTATAATCGATATGCATCGTCAGTTTTCTACCATTATTTTATCTATTATCAAAAATAACAATAATGTCTACTTGGGATAGTACAAGACTTCAGCACGATTATAATAAAATGTGACCTGAGTTCTACAGAGTATTGCTAAGTAACACAAAATTTCTTTCCTTCAATATGGAAATGCCAATTATGAATGAAAATTAAAGACAATAGTTTCTCAATTGCTGTAGTATATTTCGTGCCGAATATTGTGATCGTATTAAGTCGATGGATGAATTTATAACAATAAACAAAATCAAAATTGATCCTAAATTTAGTCGTGCCTAACAGGATCACTAGTCTTGATTAAGAACAGTTCAACTACCGGTCGGAATCGTACCGTAGGAAGTGAGATCAAAATAGAGTATTTTACAGGATAATAAAATAAGGCATATTTGATCCGAAGGCATTTGCCATACACGATGTCACAGTATGGTTTATGTTCAACCATGTAAGAAAATGAAGCATCGATAATTATAATTTGAATGGAGATATTGTCTGATACAAAGAGTAACGATCAGTGTAGTACTTTCTTCTCCTTTTCGTATTTAAAGTGATCGGGTATGATGGATGGAATTAAATTAAAGGTTAAAATATTACCGTAGTAGTATCAGATAAGGATAGCCGCAAAGTTAGTCTATTTTACTCTGTTCCTTAACTGTAATATCACACAACAGGACACATTAAATTATAGGCGGAGACGATACGAGAAATATACCATTGACAATACTCCTCAATGCCGAACGTATTCGTGAAATAACACACATCATATTTTGGCGAACAAGGTTATTTTAATTTAAAATAGCATTTAAATCCAATCAATGTCCGATAGCTGTAATAACTTTTACCATTAATAGCAGCCCAATAATAAAAATATTTTCAACCACGTTACACGTATGTAACTATTACTTCCTAATTAGTGAAGTACTGGTATTTCAAGATTCAGCTCTATATCGATATCTACCTAACTACGTAATGATGGGAGCATATTATCGCTCTCATAGATTGATGCTGTCAAAATTATTTTAACATTAAAATGCTTCTTTATGACAGAGATCAATTGAATTGTGGATTAAAAGAGATGAAGATGAATCCCCTGAAGCTATCTTACTATAAAATTTGAAGATTAGATTTAGACAAAACCGATCCATCCTACAACAGCCTTAGCTAATATTTTATTCAGATCGCAAGTTATTTATAAATTTCTACTGATAAGCATCAACTGTAGTGCTGCTTAATATCTCATCAAGACATGATTTTTTCGCTATTTAAACCTAAATTCTTTAACTTAATGTTACTAACATCTCTCGATCATAAACGTCACCCGTATGTAAATAGGGCGTAAATAAAATTTATCAACTTATGAGATCCTATGGCGGGTTAAAGACTAAATTCAATTTGCGATCATATCATTTCGGTACATAGTTTAATATCCGGTTTTAGACTTATGTAGGCGTTCTAAAATTCAATTACAGCAGTTTTATTCAATTTTAGCAACCAGGTGATAATAAAGATATAGTAAATTCTGACGGCTAGCACAGCTTGATTACTTCTTTTGATTGGTGTCTCATCTCATTAGTTAGAGTCTTCGACATAGCTTCGGACATACCATCATGCTTGACTAATTTTGATTTCGTTACGGATAGTATGAGTAAAAAGGAATAGTATGGTGCTGATTGAAGCCATTTCAATAGTTAATAAATAAACATTACATTAATCAGGCCACCTTGAATGCTATGCTGCTTCGCTTTCTAGCCGTCTTGTTCACGAGCGTTTTATTCTCCTTGCATGTAAGAGTATTTCGACAAATCAAAATATTTATTTAGTATCAGTATTAAAATAGCCTGAATGCGGTACCGAATGAAAATGCTATGTAACTAAAAGCATTTATTAGCAACTGTATAAATATGTTCAGTCTATAAATAATATAATTAAACATGCAAGAACCAAGAAGATGGGGCAAGTTTGAGCTTTTTTAAACATGTTTGAGGTTAGGCTATCATTCTTGGATACTTTTTATTTCTTACTTTACAGCTTAGAAATCTTTTTGGTAAGTGTATTTATTAAAATAGCTAAAGGCTATCCGTAAGTAAGAGTTATCTTGAAATTCAAAATAAATGCTGGTTAGCCTTTAAAATAAGGTAATGAATACTTAGCATTATCACCAAAAAAAATTCTAAATGCGTGTGAAAAATGAATACTAATTAACACTTAAAATATGAATTAAGTAAATATTAAAATTAATTTGCCTTTTAAAACTTCACTTTAGCTGAAATTGAGAGTTTACGGGATTATTTATAAGAGATGATCAAAATTATGAAATTAAGCCATCTGAAATAGACAATTCTTAGCGTAAACATTCCTAAATTATTGAGCTAAAATCTCTATCCGGTCGTATAAGAAGTACTCATATTGATTTACTATCATCGAATTAACTTAGAATTCGTACAGTAATTTGGACTCTTTTTATATAATTATCGGCATATGTATTTGAAATTCTCGAATTAGTCGTTTTATTGTGAAAAATAAATGATTATACGCTTATTAACTTAACTAGACAGTATCAGACGTTTTTTAATTCTATTACAGTAGATACTTGTTATTAACATCACTGAATAGTGCTTAAAATAATAGAATAAGATAACGGTTTTTTTATTCTAGTGAGGTTTGCTAACGCAGTGCTCATGTTGTGAACTAGTCGATCGAAAAGATTAGTTTACGAATATGCCAAATGGTTAGATATAAATAAATAAATGTCCAGGTGTTTTGGGTAACGTCTAATACCTTGCAATTATACGATTATCAGGTATGGTACTTTATTTCTAAATTATGTATATGAGTTCGTTTTAACTACTTTAGTTACGTCTAGACATAGCTATTATAATGAAATAATTTTTGGTACATATATAGTGCAATTCACTTGCTTTTATTTCATCGCTTTCTACCAGTAGCAGAAAATCTCGTTAGCATAAATTATTCTAATGCTCTCTTCTACATCTAAGAGATGCCTTTAAAATAAATGATCAGACTATCCTTTACGAAATCGTAGCGGATGAAAAGATTGAATAATTATGAAATTTTTCTGTTTAGCTTGCCTCTCATCTAGTATATAGTATTAAAGACCAGTAGTAGAGTTTTCGATCAAATTAAATCACAGAAGTTAAGATTTACTTGTCAGTAGACCTCTTTTGTCCTTTTAAGCTCAATCTGACCTTAATTTCCACTTCTGAAAGGCTTTATTCAAAAATTAGGCTTCTTAACTTTTATAATTACTGTACAATAATTGAAAATTTTAATAACCATGGGAGGCTACTATAACCATGCACAATTTTCGTGCAATACAATTAATGTAATTTAATCTTTAATACAACATGTATGTTCGCAGAAATTTCCCGTTTACTGTCATTCGTAAGTCTTGACCTATATCTTTGTCTTCAATCACGAATCTCTAGTCGAAAAATAAAATATAGAAATTAAACTGGACTTTTGGATCTTACTATTTATTTCCAATTGGAAATAAAAAGATCCTCAATATTCATACTAATAATACATATTAATTAATGAATAATTCCGAGAAACTAGTGCAAGTATGGTACATTGTTTTAAATCTATATCTATGAATGTATTCGCTCATTATCCACTTACAACTAGTAAGCAACAAAAATATACTGCAAAATTTTCATACTATTGCATCCCTTCATAATGATCACTAAATATCTAATAATGTGAGATCAAATTTTGAAGAGAATAGCTTAATTTTGACTTTAAATAATTCATATATCTTACGACTAGTACAACGATATTGTACATCTATCTCTATCAAATGAATAAATGTCCTTATTAAATTTTAAAACTAAAAGTACTAACTACAGCAAAATTGAATCGCAAAATGATTAACCGTGTAATAAGCTATAAAATACTTGGGTCGAAATAATCGAGTCTAAATCAGTTCTTTCTGACTAAAATTAAGCTGTTCAGCCCTATATGCAGCAATACATAATTATTATAATTCAATTTAAGTACAGAACCAATATTATTTTTATTTCCGTATTTTATGAAACTGTAGCAAGGAT